CAATTTACTAATTTGGTCAACATTACTTAATGACATTGTCTTTTCTCCCCCCCCACCCCCGATGTCGAGATTTTTGAGCATTTGCATGGACCTTGCTTTTGTTGCATAGTGGGTAGAGAAAATGTCAAATACTGTCAAAGAATGTTCACTAGGTAACCTCATGCACAAAAGTACTTAATTATCTCTTGGCCAGAGAAGGGAAAGTCTGGTTTAATCCTGCAGAATATATGGAGTCCTAACTTCTGAACAATGACCAATCAACTATGCAAGTGATATTCTTTTTTTTTTAAGATTTTATTTATTTATTTGACAGAGAGAGAGAGAGATAGCTAGAGCAGGAACACAAGCAGGGGGCGTGGGGATGGAGAAGCAGGCTTCTCGCTGAGTAGAAAGCCCTACGTGGGGCTCGATCCCAGGGTCCTGGGATCATGACCTGAACCGAAGGCAGACGCTTAACCAACTGAGCCACCCAGGCACCCCTGTCAAGTGATATTCTTAATCCTATTCTGAGTCACTGCATAGCATCCACTCAGATCCAAGGTTTAGAAGATGTAGACCTTAAAAAAAAGGCTATTGAAAAATTAGAAATTTGAGTAAAATATGGGAATTAAATCTCAGTTTTAATACTGAACTCTACTGGTGATTAATGCTCACTGATGATTCCTTGATCACTGATAAATGCTGGGAAAGCTAAAAGGGTTTTGTGAATGTAAAAAAATATATAGGAATTATAGACTGTAAAATTATATATAAATCATTACTACTGACTCAGTAAAATGCAGCAGACTAGTATAGCTATTTTTAATATAATCATACAGACTGATTTTTCTTACAGACCATGACACTAAAAACTATAACTGAATTTTGCCTCATGAATCAGTTGTTTTTAGACAATCTTATTAAAGTTCTTTGGGTGAGAATAACTCTGAAATTATGATTTTATATTTTTATAAAGTGGAAGTATGACCTTGCTTGTAAAAATAATGGAAATTAATAAAATGCACACTTAATAAACAGGAATGTAGATTCTTACCAAAAAATAGAGTAAAACACTGAAACACACACATATATAATCTGAAACAGTCAAATTCATAGTTTATGTCTCTGCCCCGATGGGTTGTTCTGCACCTTCCCCAGGGACGAATACCCACCCAGGGAGGTGAGGACATTGCTGTCACTACTGGGGGTGGTTTTCAGGCCCCCATCTTGGGATCAAGTATAAACCTAGCCACACAAGGTGTCTATTTGAAGGCCAATAATATCAAGCAGTTTTTCTCAAAACACAGGTGCTGCAAAGATGATGGCAAATTTATATCTTCATTATTGCAGTCTCAGACTTCATGTGAGTTGTCTATTGGTATTTGGGATGAAAGGTGCTCAGTGGTCTCTATAGCTTACTTATTTATAATAGGGCCTTGAATTTACATAGCATTACAGTAACTAAGAATGGCAAATTACATACAGACTGAGAATCTATGGGCACGTTAAGAATGGTAATATTAAGGGGCGCCTGGCTGGCCTAGTCGGTTAAGTGTCCGACTCTTGATTTTGGCTCAAGTCACGATCTCAGGGTCATGGGATTGAGCCCCATGGCAGGCTCCGTGCTCAGCAGGGAGTCTGCTTGAGATTCTTTCCCCCTTCCTCTCCCTCTTCCCCTGCCCCTGCTCTCTCTCTCTCTCTCAAATAAATAAATAAATCTTTAAAAAAAAAAAAGAATGGCAATGTTAAGATAATGGCTGTATTTTTTTGATGCAGTCTAAAGAATTAAGAATATACTGCCTAAGAAAAAAGAAATAATGGGCATAGCAATTTTTTAAGAACATCAAGAAAGAACAAACTATCCCTGGAAAATTCCTGTGTTTGTTACTACCATGTTGTTTTGATCAGCAGGAGACAAAAGAGATCCTTTCCTCACAAGTGTTCTTGCTCTTTTCTTAACATGGCAAAAAAAAAAAAAAAAAAAAAAGGTCCTATAAATGTTGTCACAGAGCTTTGCTATGGACTGGAATGAACGTGTTTCCAGGAAGGAGGCAGTGCCCTGCAGGGCGTAGTGTTGAACTGGGGGAAAGCTGAAAGGATTCAGGGCAGAGTGGAGGAAAGGAAGGGCACACGCTGAGTTCATCTGGTCCCAATAAGGCATTGCGTGGCTCCCCTGGGTGTGGGGGGGAGGTTGTGTTTGTTGTGTTACCATCTGTTGAAAGAAATGTGTTTGTGCATATCCCAAAGGCCATCATGGGATTTTTGTTGTTGTTTTTACAAAAGTGTGGGCTTCCTCAATTGGGACAACACGCCATGTTTTGGACTCAAGTTCTTCTTCAGCCACCCTGCCCCCACCCTGCACCTTTTTTTTTTCTAGATCACTAAAAGGTGCTGATAACAAATCCAGTCCATCTAATTTGGAAATTGTGAAGGGCAGCCCTAATTGTTACTTTGTTTTCACAGCTCAGTTGGAGAGGAAAGCAATTTAATTTTCAACGACTTGCTTCCAGGCTAAGATTGCCATTCAAATATACTTTCAGAATATCTCCAAAGTGCAACCACTACAGTTTCCTGTCACTGTCCTGTTGTTGCTCTGGCCCTGGGCATTGTCCTGCCTCACCTGGCTTACGGCAGTGGGCTCCCGGGGGCCTCACGGCCGAGGAGACCCAACAGACACAGTGTGTCTGCTGGAACCAAAGTTGGAGTAGGCCATTCCTTTGCTTAGTATCCTCCAGTGGCTCCTGAGATGTGTCCTTCTTGGAAACACTCATTCTGTCCCTAGCAGAGCCTGTGTGGCACTGTGCAAGACTGTTTATAAATGCAGTGGCTCACAAACCTTTGTGATCCTGCGCCCCTCTGCCTCCTCTCCAAGCCTCTTTGACGTCCTAGGACTTCCAGCAGCTCCCACCTCCGGGAATCTCTTCCCCATGGACCCCACTTCCGGCAGATCATTCCTGAGCTTTCCTCAACCTTAACACCGAGGCCTTCCCTATCTACTCCGTTTAAAGTCACAACCCTCCCAATATTTTCTACCCCCCGTTCTGTTTTGCTTTTCTAAGTTTAATTAATAGACTATCTTTTAGAGAAGTTTTAGGTTCGAAGCAAACTCCAGCAGAAAGTACAGAGAGTTCCCATATACCCCCGGCCACCACAGGCACAGCCTCCCCCAACTCTCAACATCTCCCACCAGCGTGGTGCATGTGTTACAATCGATGAAGCTTCAGTGACCCGTCATCATCACCCAGAGTCCATGGTTTACATGAGGGTCACTCCCGGTGTTGGACATCCTGTGGGTCTGGACAAATGTATAGCAACATGGATCCACCATTGTAGTGTCTTACAGAGTAGCTTCACTGCCTTAAAAATCCTCTGTGCCTGCTCATCCCTCCTCTCCCCCCTGGCCTCTGGCAACCCGTGATCCATTTATTGTGTCCACGGTGTTGCCTTTTCCAGGATGTCATATAGCTGAGCTCATACCGTATGTAATCTTTTCAGATTGGCTTCTTTCACTTCATAATATGCAATTAAGCTTCCTCCATGTATTTTCATGCTTGACAGCTCATTTCTTTTTAGCACTGAACAATATTCTGTTGTCTGAACGTGCATTTACCTACTGAAGGACATCTTGGTTTCAGTCCTTCCATTTTTTTTATTCCTATTTGGTGTTCATCACCATCTAAATATGCTTTACTTGACTTACTTACTTTTTGTCTGTAGTCCCCAACTCCCCACCTCTAGTATAGCTTCTATGAGGGTAGCAGTGTCTATTTTGTTCTCTGCTATATCCCAGCACCTAGAACAGTGCTGGTGTATAGTAGATGCTCGAGAAATATATGTTGAATGGAAGAATAATAAAAAAGATCTTTTCCAGGGGCCCCTGTGTTGCTCAGTCGGTTAAGTGTCCGACTCTTGATTTCAACTCAGGTCATGATCTCAGGGTCGTGGGATTGAGCCCTGCATCAGGCTCTGCTCTCAGTGCAGAGTCTACTTGTCCTTTTCCTCTGCTCCTTCCCCCACTTGTGCTCTCTCTCTCTCAAGTAAATAAAATCTTAAAAAAATATATTTTTCAAAAGGTGCAAAAGTAACTAAATTTTTCTCCAGTCATATGCCACCATAATATATAAAGTACATTTCTATCTACATGAAGATCATAGCTAATGTCCATCAATGATGTATCTAAAGTGCTTGCTTAGCCCAGATCCTGGAACATAGTCAGGATTCTGCAGGTATTTGATTTTTATAAAAATGTGAACTCTCTGAGTGCAGAGACCTATTTTGCCTTATTCGCCACCATATTCTGTACACTAAGAACAATGGCTGACACACAGTAGGTGCTCCAATGATATTTATTGGATGGCTAATCAGTTTATCTCAATGTATTGGCTTTCTTATTTAATCATCTGTTTTATCTATCAGTTAGATGGTGTTAGTGAGCCAAAGAGATGTTTAATAATAGTTTGTTTTTAAGGAATGACTTAAACACAACCATAGTTTATCATGGTGTTTGATCCAAGCTCAATTGTAATTTGCTGCCATACTCTGAAAAGTTCACTTATTATTTCATCTTCTCCACGGGCATTACTAGTATGTTGGTTAAAGCCATGTCAGGAGAAAAAAAATGTTTATTTATGTGCAAATGGTCTATGAATGTATCACATGCTAAGTAAGGGTAAAGAGAGACAGATGAGCAAATGCTTTTATGGCTTTGGATTTCAAATGGCCAAGGACTATTCAGTTCATTAAATTAAAGATAAAACTAAGTAAAACAGTCCTTTTCTGGAAGTGGGAGATGTGGAAAATCTCCATAGAGACATAAAATAGGACTATAGAATTCTTTAGTAGATGTATCCTCTTGCCCTGAACCAAAAAAAAAAAAAAAAAACCAAACCAAACAATTAAAACAAGAGAGCCTCTATCTTGTTGAAGAAGTATGGAAGGATCTATTTCATGAAGGAAAAAAATGCAACATCTTTGTGGATGAATATAACATATGGTGAGTGAGGAAGTTCTTATAAACTTACCCATCATTGTTAACATCTGACACTGTGACCGTATATCCAAAATAAGATGCCATCTACAAAGAAAAACCGTGAGATGACATAGTTTATGTTCAAAAATAATTTTTATAGTCCTCTCTCAATTTTTCCTGAAGGATGAATCTCATTGCAGCAGACTTCTGCATTAAATTCATGGACTCCTGGACATGGACAGAGTCTTAAAGTCATTCAGGCTGACCCCATGCATAATTTCCCCTCAGTACCCCTGACATCTGCTTGGTCATCCTCTGCAGCTATTCAACAATCAGCCCATTCAATTTGTGGACACAATTATTAGAATTTTCTTTGCTAAAATTGGCACTTCTGTAACTTCTAGTCCTTAATCCTATTTAGTTCTGCCATGTTGAACCTCACAGAATGAATCTAATTCCACTCCCGTATGATATTTCATATGGAAATATTTGTAGCTGGCTCACCATCATGGCCTCTCTTTCTTAGAGATACTGCATGTGATACCAAAGAAAAGATAATACCCCATGAATGCATTGCCCAGAGAAGAGTTAAGTAGGATTTACACTCTTTGCTTTGGGCTCTTTATATCAATGAAGCATAAAAAGGGTTTTAATTTCACGGGAAACCATGCTCAGTATCAATTCATATTGAGTTCATTGTCAACTAAGGTTTCTAAGTCTCTTCTGAGTATAATTAGCGAGCCACATTCTAGCTCTTAAGTTTTTTGTTTTTCAAGCTATGTTTTCAACATTTATCATCTTTTCAGATTCAGTGCATAGTTTTGAAGTTGTCGAGATGTTTTTTTTCCATGTTTTGGCATCCAGTGCTTTAGCTGACTTAGCCTCCCATCATCTTCTAATGTAATCAGTCTACAATCCACTAGAAAGTGTCCTCCACAGAAGGCAGAGATTTTGGTCTGTGTTGTTCAGTCTTCTGTCTACACTGCCTGACTAGGGTCTAGCTCAGAGTGGGTGCCAGGTGCCAGATACTCTGCAGAGGGAATGAATACATGAGTTAACAAGTGTCATGAAATAATTAAATTCTCCCACCTCTTTTCTCTATTTCAAACATATACAGTTGCTATAGATGAATATTTGTGTCCCTTCCTTCCCCTAAATTCAAATATTGATCCTAACCCCCAATATGATGGTATTAGGAGGTGGTGCCTTTGGGAGGTGATTAGGTCATGAGGGTGGAGTCCTCATGAATGGGGTTAGTGCCCTCATAAAAGAGACCCCAGAGAGCTCTCTAGCCCTCCTTCCACCATGTGAGGACCTAAGAATATGTCTATCTATATGAATCTCCCCAGATACTGAATCTGCCTACCTCTTGATCCTGGGCTTCCCAGCCTTCCAGAACTGTGAGAAATAAACATTTGGGTTTTTTAGCCACCCAATCTATGGCATTTTTATTATAGTATTCTGAAGACTAGGATATAGTTGCCAGGTACCAAATGCTCTTTGCAGAGGGAATGAATGCATGAGTTAACTGTGTAATAATAGTTCAGTTTTCCCACCTCTCTTCTCTATTCCAAACATATACAGTGAAGTTCTTATTTCTGGTGTGGCATTGTGTGGACTTCACTCAGAGGAGTTTCATCATTTATGCATTAAATGCTGAGGTTCAAGACTGAAGAACTAGGTGGTATTGAGGACAAGAAGTTATAGAAAGGCCCAATTTAATAATGTTTAAAGAGCTTCTAATGATAAAAATGTGAAACAAATCTGGATAAAAGAGAAGTCTTGCCAGATTTTCAATAAACCATTAATTACCATCACTTGAGAATAGTTCAAAATTTATAAGTTCATCCAACTTCAGTATTGTCCCGGCCTTACTTCTCCGTATGTACCACAAGAGTATCATGAGGGACATTGTTAAATGCTTTGTTGAAAATTGCAGAGTAATGGATAGACCAAAGCCCTAATTGGGGGGGGGGGGGATGTAAAAAATGCTCTGTGTTCAATAGAAAACTTTATTAATCAAAATTGCTAGACAAATATATTATTCCAAATCTACATATCTATCTAAGAATGGAGCATCTAAGGGCCCTAAACTATGATCCAGAAGGTGAAGATGTAACTTGGCCACATTCAAATGTGAGGCTTCCTAGAAGTTCAGTAGTGTGGGCTTCTGGTTAGGAGAGAATATGGGTTGCCCCGAGAAACTGATTTAATTAACGACTGGCTCCCTTAGATGGCCATACCACATTCATTGTTTAAAGGAATGTGGCAAATTTCAACAGGTCACAATACCCCGGACAACTCAGGGTGGTGGATAAAGTATGACCTCAGGCCATATTAGGTTAGGAGAATGACAGACACGTCCCTCATTCATAGTAAGACCTCAGCCAGTGATGGTGGATGAGGAACAATATCTAGTCCCTGGGAGGAAGGGACCAGAACAAGATAGCCTGTCAACCTCCACATCATGTTGGGAGGGTGGAGGGCTCCAGTCACAGTGAGAAAGGGAGGCAGAGCACAGGCCCATTGACTCTGACAGATACAATGGGGCCTACGAGAAGCCTGTGTTTTCTCAGAGGGAAGGCGGATACCTAGAACTCACCACCAGGCACACTATGTACGGGCCTACAACATAACAGGATTGTTCTCAGACCCTAGTAGTTAGTGACACTGCTGCATGAAAGCTGGGATCTTGTCTGTCTGATGCATGGTTATATTCCCAGTGCCTAGAACAGTTTCCAACATATAGTAGGTACTCGGTGAACATTTATTTTATGAATGAATAAATGATATGAATATTGCGATTTACTATTAGTCCTGAGTGACATTGTTTGGTATTAAAAGGTCTTCACCTGTTCGCCAGTGAAGTTCTGAATAAAAGTCATATCTGTAGAGTTAATGATTGAAACCTGAAATCATAGAGATTAGATAGGTTACATCATTTGACAGAATTGGAGAAAAAAACATTTTAAATTACAACTTAAGTCATTTTTAAATTTTGGGAAAGAGTAGTTAATTATTAACTATATGTAAAACAAAAATGTAATCCCGTAAGAATGATCTTTAAAAAAATCCAATTTAACTTTTATTTATGGTTAAGACTGTGATACTTTCAGATAAAATGCATGCTTACTAATCTGAAAAGGGAAAATAGAAATTGAATTCAAATGAACTCTGAGACCCATTAACCTGATGGCCAGTTAATTGATCTAATCAGGGTTTTTGTCTAAATTCATTTCTGTGTTTACGTTATTATGAGAAACTGATGATTATGGCTCTTCACAAAAAAACAAAACTGAAAATTTTAAATGTTATCTACATAGCAAAAATATTACCTTTAATTCTATTCAGCCAATCTAAAATCTGCAGATACTATTTCACTAGACTTTTTAAAAAATAAACATTATTTAAAATATAACTTTTCCTTTTCAGAAGGTCTCTTGATTTTCTTTTCCTAATTTTGTGGTAAGTAGGTATAACGGGTCTGAATGGTATCCCTCCAAAGTTCATGTTGCCCAGAACTTCAGGAGGTGACCTTATTTGGAAATAAGGTCTTTGTAGATGAAATACATTAAGGAACTTGAAATGAAATCATCCTGGATTTAGGGTGGGCCCTATATCCAATGACTGATGTTCTCATCAGAAAGGAGAGGACACACATAGACACAGATGGAAGAAGGCCATCTGAAGACAGAGGCAGAGATTGGAGTCATGCTGACACACACCAAAAAAAGGCAGGGGCCACCTGAAGCCGGAATAGACAAGAAAGATCCTCTGCTAGATGCGCTGCAGGAAGTGACACGCTGCCTGACACTGGGATTTCAGACTCTGGTTTCTTGAACTATGAGAAAATAATTTTATATTGTTTTAAGCCACCCAGTTTATGGTAATGTTGTGGCAGTCTCAGGAAACAAATATGCTAGTGTAATAACAATTGATTTTCTCATTTCTACCATATGAGGCATATTAAAATGCTGAGCACATCAGCAACAGTATTCTCTGCAATTATTCCTGGATGAAGCACAAGAATCGTGTGGGCTTCATGGGTGTGACCTGCGCCGTCACACTGGTCCCCACGTTCAATCAGACCCCACCCTTGGTTTAATGCCCAGCTGTTGTGATCCTGAAATTCTTAAATTTGGACAAAGGGCCCTGCATCTTCATTTTGCACCAGGTCCCACAAACTCTGTAGCTGATTCTGTACATAGATCAGGAAAAAAAAAAAAATCTAGCTTCACTTGTTTTCCTTCCTTTTTTAGTAAGCAAACAAGCATACAAGCATGGATCTATAGGAGCTCACTATTAAAAGGCATTTAAAACCATTTAAAAGTTGAATGCAATGAAACATTTCTTTGCATATATAAGAAAATATCCAGCAATGCATTCTTTGTACTCACATATCCAAAATTCTGTGCTCCTCTTGGAATGCCAGCAACCAGTTCTGGGGATAAAAATAGTCATTGAGAAGGGGGATTACATATATTTTAAAGTTATGCAACACATCAGTTAAAGATAGTGCTTTTTACATGAGTAACCATCATGTGAAGAGCTGGAAGTGTGAAGTCATGGTTTTGTGTTTCCTTTTGCTTCTGCTACAGACTATGGAATACAGAACAAAAGTTGTACTGTGAGATTTACCAGTCTTCATCACTGGTCTCCATGTGTTTTTGCCTGTATAGCATAAGCCTGGCTTCTCAGCTCTGTGTGTGATTTGCAGATTAAACCTCTTACTCTGGGTTTCTCTAGCTTTCACTGTGGTGACATCTTTTGTATTAGTGTAAAAAGTTTAGCTTCTGTCACATGTAATGTTAAAACAATTCTGGTTACCTAAAGAAAAGCCATCATAAATGACACGAGTCTGGCCCCCTTGGAAATGTTTACTGGTAGCAGAATTAGCAGGTGACCTGGTAGCTAAGGGTCCCCCAGAAGGGAAGCTTCACTAATAGAAACAGAAGAGGCAAATCTGGGGGAAAGGGTCCATATAACTCATTGCACTATGATCTGGCTCTAGATTCAGAAGGTAATGGTGTTATTCCTGGGCCTGCCGTATACCTGGGATGTGTCATTTAACCTCGTTTTTCCAGTTACCTGCAAGTGGAGGGAGTTGGAATTGCTAATTATCAAAAATCTTTCAGTTCTTGTTTCTATAAATCTAAACCAACCTTTGATTCATTGGGGTTAAAAATTTAGTTTAATTTAAATAGGAAGGGCCTGGAAGAGAATCCCCTTCCACTTAAATTTCCCTTCCCCTCATCCTGCCCTGAAAGGTATAGCACAAGTTCTAGCATCAACTATATCTGGTGTGCTGTGTTCTAGCAGAGGTGGGTGATCATGCTATTAGCATTAATAATCAAAAAAGATTCATTTGGGGTTAGATGTTGGACTTTTCAATAGTAAATCCATTCATTCAATCAACAAATATTTATAGGCAAATGGAGTATACAGTAGTGAGCAAAATGGACAAAATTCCCTGCTTTCACGGAACTTATACTCTGGTTGGAAGAGACAGTCAATTTAAAAAGCATAGTCAATGAAATGGCATATTTGAAGGGGATAAGTGTAGTGAGTGAGAAAAAACAAACAGTAAAATGGTACAGGGAGTGCTGGAGGTAGGATGGGGAAGGACGTATGACTTATTAGGGCACAATTAGCAGGAAAGGACATGGCAAGAAAGTGACATTGGAGCAAAGACTGAAGAAAGTGAGGCTTTTCTTATGGAGAAGTGGGAAAAGTATGTTTTAGTCAGAAAGAATGGCAAGTGCAAAGATCCTGAGGTAGAAGTGTGTCTGGAGTATTCAAAGAATAGCAAAGAGACCACGGCAGCTGGAGAAGAGGGAGTGAGGAGTAAAGGGGTAGGAGATGAGGTCAAAGTAACTAGTAGCCTCATGAATGGAGTCTCTCAGGTCATTGTGAAGACTTGAATTTCAGACTGAATGAGTTGAAAACTCACTGGATCAAAGAAGTTACACAATCTGACTTCTGTTTCTAAAGGACCACTTTAGCTGCTGGATTTAGAGCAGACTACAGGGGGACAAGGGTAAATTCAGAGAGACCGGGTAAGAGTCTACTGCAATAAAGTAGAAGCTGTGCTGGAAGTGAGAAGTGGTCAGATTCCGGTCATACTTTGAGAGTTTAGTTAGCAGGATTTACTCATGAATTGGATACGGATGGGGTGTGAGAGAAAGAGTACAGCCCAAGGCTGACTTCCAAGGTATTTGGCTTGAGCAACTGGGAGGATGGCATTGTCACTTACTGAGATGAAGCTGTTGGAGGGTAGATCACGTTTCGGGGGGAAGGTTAGGAGTTTGCTCATGAGCACATTAAGCCTGAGACAGCTATTCAAATAGAGATGTTGAGTATTGAGTTTGAGGTTCTAGATCTTAGAACATGTATCCCTGAACCTAGAATTCAGTGTAATCTGGAGAAGTACCACAAGCCTGGAATTCAGTATAAGCTGGAAAAATAAGTGAGACTGGATGAGAGTACCAAAACTCAAAGAGGAAATAAAAAGCCCAAATATTTAACCCGGGGACACTTCAGTGAGATGAGAGAAATTAAAGGGGAATCAGAGATGGAGAAGGAGCCGCAAATGTCTGGGTAGTCGAGTGAAGAAATGAGGAGGGAATGATGAACTCTGTCAGATGCTCCTGAGAGTTAAGGAAGCTGAGTTGCATGAGGCCTCTGGTTTGCTTGACACAAGCTGTTTCAGCTGAGCAGTGAGTTTAAGAGGAGGGGGATGGTGGAACTTGAAGACAGAGATACAGGCAGAGAAGAGTGACAGCTCTTGAAGCAGAGAATACAGGTGCTTGCTGGAGGCAGAAGTGGAATAAGAGATTTTCTTTTTAAGGTGTGAGAAATAACAGTATGCTTGTCTATTCATGGGGATGATTAAAAAAACTGATGATATGAGATAGAGAATTAGGAATGGCTGGAGTCCCTTCTTTGAGTCATGAGAGGGAATGAAGCCTAGTGCAAAGTGGAGAGTTAACCTTACAAAGGAGCATGGACTGCTCAACCTCAGCAATGGGAGAGAAGGTGAAGCATGTCCTTGAAGAATACAACCAGGCTTAGAAAAACTAAGCTATCCCGGGGCGCCTGGGTGGCTCAGTTGGTTGAGCGACTGCCTTCGGCTCAGGTCATGATCCTGGAGTCCCGGGATCGAGTCCCGCATCGGGCTCCCTGCTCGGCGGGGGGTCTGCTTCTCCCTCTGACCCTCCCCCTTCTCATGTACTCTCTCTCCCTCTCATTCTCACTCTCTCAAATAAATAAATAAATCTTTAAAAAAAAAAGAAAAACTAAGCTATCTGGACAGATTTCTAGGAAAGGTGGCAGAACTGGTAGCACACTGCTCAGTTTTCAGTAATCTTTACTTGGTATGAATTAAATTGGCATGTAACAACAAACCACCATCCGATATAATGGAGTTGACTGATTCCAGAATCAGGCCTATCAACCAGAAGACTGACTATCCCATTTGAAATACATGACAACCACTACTAGGCATTCCACAAACATTCAGAATTTCATTTAAAAGACAACAACCATCACACTCAGTAACTTTGCAGTCTGCAACCTCACATGGCCACAACACTAGGAGTTATTAAAAGTAAATGCTGGATGAGGAATTCTTAATCTCAGGAAACAAACTGAGGGTTGCTGGAGTGGGGGGTGGGGTGGGAGGGATGGGGTGACTGGGTGATAGACACTGGGGAGGGTATGTGCTATGGTGAGCGCTGTGAATTGTGCAAGACTGTTGACTCTCAGATCTGTACCTCTGAAACAAATAATGCAATATATGTTAAGAAAAAAAAAAAAGAAGAAGAAGAAGGTAGCGGGAGGGGAAGAATGAAGCGGGGGAAATCGGAGGGGTAGACGAACCATGAGAGACGATGGACTCTGAAAAACAAACTGAGGGTTCTAGAGGGGAGGGGGGTGGGAGGATGGGTTAGCCTGGTGGTGGGTATAGAGAGGGCACATTCTGCATGGAGCACTGGGTGTTATGCACAAACAATGAATCATGGAACACTACATCTAAAACTAATGATGTAATGTATGGGGATTAACATAAGAATAAAAAAAAAAGAAAAAAAAGTAAATGCTGGTTAAAAATGTTCATAATTATTTACAAATGATCAAGATGGGGAAATTGTTTGTAGTTTAAGGTAAGTTAGAACTGTCACTCAACTATAAAAATATTCAGTTGGGAGGGAAAATAAGTGACTTTTCTTAGATCCATTTCAGTAACTCATGGTAAACCTTCTCTTAATATCAATAATACATGGAGGAAAAAGTTAGATACCTGGCCTCGAAATACATGACCTGGCCATCAACCCCATTAGTGAGAAGCAGAAAGGAGGCTAGTGTCTATCGAATGTCTTCTACCCACTAGAGAGTGTGCCACATGCTTTATAATATTTCCACTGTTTAACCTCTAAAAAGCAGGCATTCATATTCCCTAGGATTGGTCAGATCACTTTCTTGGTTTTTGGCTCACCACATCAGACTCTAAAACAAGAACAAAATATTTTAATCTTTTTGAATCATGAGCACACTTGGGAAGTAGATGGAAGTTATGGATCCTCTCATTGGAAAAGTTCACATACCTGCAAAACCTTGCATATAATTTCTAGGGGTGCAAATCCTGTGAAGTCCATCCATGTACCATCCAGAGTCCAAGGATCCCATATTAAGGACCTCTCATCTAGAGGACATCAAGTCACTCACTGTTTTTCATAGAGTTCCAATTCTTTCCAGTCTAATTAAGTAAGTAGTGAACATGGGTAGTCATGGCTTGGTGTGGTCTGATAAATGGATCATGATCTCTGATAGTGCCTTTACATATCCACAAATCATTTAAAACTTGGATCCATCTAGTTATTTCTGTGATCTGATGGAAAATCACTATGATCTTCTACCGTCTTGCTCTGTGATATGCTGTCATGCATCCCTCTTAATTTCCTTGGGTCAGGACTAAATGCTGTACTGGGTGGGGGAACTTTCCAAGAGTTTAATGTCATGTTTAAAATCATTTGGCATATTTTACAGTTTCCTTTGCTAAATCACTGAGTGATTATAAGATTTGACTCTTCTAGGGTACTAGGAATTCAATTTTATCTCTGATGGTCCCTAACCCAAGAGTTCTTTCTTCTTATAGCTAATATTTAAATAGCATTTGTTATGTATCAGGAATTATTCTACTGTTTAATGAACATATAGGAATAGCTTATTTAATCCTCATAAGAATCCTATGATATAGATAATATTATCATATTCATTGTTATCGTCATCACCATCATCATCATCATTACCATTATCATCATCATCATCATCACCTTCATCATCACCACCATCTCTCTTTTAGAAATTAAGAAATGGAGGCACTGAGATTCAGGTAACTAGGTCACAGAGCTGGTAAGTGGCAAAGTCAGGGTTGAAACTCAAGTGGTCTAGCTCCAAAGTCCATGCTTTTAACTACCAAAATAGATTGTCTTTTAATATCTTGAAGAAAAAATGGAAAGACAGGGCCTTTAAAAATTATGTTTAAAAGAAAAATGTTCTTTTAACGAAAAAAAAACCACAAAAAACCCTGCTTTCAACCCCTACTTCACTGCATAAAGAGTGTTTTATGCTCTGTGAATTTCTGCTTTGTAGGTCTTGTTGACATGAAACAGTTAAAAGAGCTCTGATGATTTCTAGGGAAGGCCACATTTCATTTACTCTTAATTCTTTGTGAATTCATTAAAACACATTAGTAAAAAGTAGTTAAGGTTCATATGAAACAAGAAGAAAATACTGATTGATTGATTGATGATTGAGTCATTCAATAAACAATACCAGTCTTGTATATGATAGGTATTCTTATGGGCTGAATGTTTGTGTCCCCCCCAAATTCATAGTATTGAAACCTAACCCCTAATGTGAGATGGTCTTAGGAGGCAGGGCCACTGGGAGGTGATTAGGTCATGAGGATTGGATTAGTTTTATGTTTAGAGCTTTATCCTAGCACTTACTACAATTTTTAATCAGGTATTTTGTGTTCATTATTTAATGCCTGTCAGCCCCACTAAGACCATAAACTCTGAGAGTAAGGATCATCTGTTCACCTCCATGTGTTCAACACTTAATACAGAGTCTGGCACAGAGTAGGTGCTCAAAAAATTTTGGACAAATAAATGAATGATAAATGCCTTAGGAGAAAGAGAAATGAGATGAGATAGGAGTTTACAGAAGGAAGTAAAAGAAGGATTTCTGGAGGAGATGACATTTGAAATTATACTTTAAAAAAAAGTAGCATTTGACCACTGGAAATTAGAGTGGCTACAGAATCAGTGGATTAAAACCAGGGATGACAGCCTTCACAGGATATAGAGGACAGAGGTGAGGGGCATATATGAGAATAGGGGTTAATTCATTCCATTATTTTGGGCTTGAGCATGTCCAAAGGGGAAAAGGAAATAATGTGGAGATGTTGGGTTGGAGTCTGGTGGAGAGTTTAGTATGGACATGTTCAATATGAGATCCCAGAAATTAAAGTAAAGATGGGGGATGTTGATTTTTCAAATTTGATCTGTCATTAACAGCATGGCTTTTGTGTAGGCCATTTAATCACCTTATTTTTTTTTTTAATGCATAACATGGGATTACTGGACTTGTTTTTTATTGCTTAACTAGATTTTATAAAGATTGATATTCAGTCTTATGGAATTTTTTGAGACTTATAAAGCTGTGCTGAAGTGTATTTTGTTTGTTTTTCTATAGATTATTATCATATACATTCTGGGATTCCATTTTTATACATTTTGTGTAGTGACGAAAATTATATTTATAAAGGGGCTTTTTAGGTCACCTTATCTTTCCCGGGCTTTATAAATGACTTACATTCAATAATGTCTCTCACCTTGCTCAGAGTCTCCAGTAAATTCCCCAGCAGCAACTGAATATCCTGTGTTAAAGAAAAGAAAAACCAATCATGCTTGAAGGCTTTACAAATGAGCTATGTCTAGAAAAATGAAAGAATTACCATAGTACTGCTTTGTTCAGAAATCTCGACAAATATTGCAACATAAAATTTAGGGTTCTGTAGAGGGAAAAATTAGTGAAGCCAATATGAACAGTTCTGTACTAAATCCTGGATGCATAATAGACCTGCTTCTTCGGAGAATGGCAGCACAATCAGATTCTGAGGGATGCTTCATAATCCACCTTAAAGTGTAAATGGTGGCCACTGCATTTTAAGGTTGTTAATTCATCAGGATCAGACATGATACTCTGAAAGGTATCTTTTGTGCTCAGGTTTTGCTATTTCTGATCATCAAGAAGGTCTACTTCCTAATTTCTTTAAGGATGGTTTTCCACAAATTTCACTTACCTCTAAAGCAAGGTGAGGTGAAAAGCAAAAAACAAGAAACAAAACAAAAAAAGTGAGGTGAGGTGAAAAATATAACTACATTTTGTTTAATTTATTAAGCCATCAAAATGCCAATAGGATACCAAAAGTGGGAAGCAACAGAGGTGCAATGACATTGTTTGCATGTAATACATTTTGACAATATTCTAGCAACTATTTGAAGGTCTTTTGTTGTTGCTCTAAAAACTGGAAAGGACCACTAGCATGTTGCCCCTACAGTGTTGGGCAGCCCCACTAATTCATACTATCTACAATTGGCAAAATATTTTATGTGCAAGACACTATGATGGTTAGTGTTTGATTGCATAACTGCATACTACCGCTTAAATTGAAACACAGAAGTAACCATCAAAATCCTCCACTAAATAAGATATTGACTTTGGGGCTGAGGTCAATGTTTTATTGTGTGAAGGAAGTATCCATCTAGTCTAATTTATTGAAATTTTTAAAATTAAAAAAATGGTTGTTGAATTTGAAGAAAGATTCTGTTATGGAGCCTAGAAAATAGGCTGAACCTAAAGAAAAGACATATAATATGGCTCAACAAAAGAAAGTCCATTCTAAGCTAATAAGGAAAGAAAATTTGCATAAGTTGCAGAATAATATCAGATAAGTGAGGAATAAAATTTTCATCTACATTTAATATGTTTGCCTTTTGAGAAACAACAAATGCGTTGAGCAACAATTCTCACCAAGGTAACTATCATCATAGGAAGCTGGAGCCACGTCTGTCTGTTTTTCTCGAGCCAATTTCCTTAGAATATCCTTGAATGAGTAATTTGCAATGATATCTGCAATACTGGCAGTGATCACCTGACCTGTGTTCAAACAAATTAATACATTAGCTGAATGAATGCAAGAGACAGGCCCTGTGAATAATATATACTCCCTTGAAAATAATCATGGAATTGCTTGCATTTTTGATGATGAATTTTCCCACATGCCAAATTGCAAGGTAAAACTGGTTACAGCTGGATAGAACATTCCATTCTGACAGAAGAACCAAAGATGAACTACATAATTTTATCTGTCTTCCCAATGCCTTCATAATACATACTCCCTCCATTTCCAAATGAGAAAAATATCGGAGTAAAGACACCTGTTGGCAAAATTTATGAATTAAATTTTTAATCTGGAACATCGTGGCTAGAAGAAACATCATCTAATTTTGAGATCATCTAGCATAACTTCTTATAAGTGGGGAAACTGAGGCCCAGAGAGCATGAGTGCTTTCTCTCAGGTCATGTGGTTTCACTTTTAGGATATTTGGCATTACAACCAAGGTCTCCTTTGGCATTCTAAGAAGACATTTTGTGTTCTCACAAAATACAGATTAAATCTAAATCACTTAATTAATAGATTGTGAAATCTATCAGTTATGTTAAGGGAGGGAATTACATAACCTTTGAGCTCTTAATTTTTATGTTAAAATGTATACATAGAGCATAAAATTATGACAATGGGAGGCTGTGAGGTCCAGTGAGATCCAGAATTTTAGCAAAAAAAAAAAAAAGGAATCCATGGCTGCCAACAATGATATGGTAAGAACTTTGGCTAATATCTCCCAAATAAAGTCACTATTAAAAGTCCTGAAATATGATCATATTGGGGTGGTCAAATATCCAAAAGATGGCCAACAATTTTCCACCACAATTTCCATGCATTCCTATATTTATAATGGACATCTAAGGGACAAGTGTGATCTCATGCTTCTTGGGAGAAAACTGGAGAAATGACTTCAAGAAACTAACATTTAATATTAATTTTAGTTTTAAAGCCAAATTATTCTTTGGGAATTTACTGATAATTCACATAATCTTTCTGTTTGAAGTCCAAAAGGAATAAAACTATCAAATCTGGCCATAAATATTTCCCAGTGACTGTGCCTGAAATGATTGTGAACAATGTCTACAGAATTTGCCAATTTTTTCTGGTTTAAAGCTAAATATCCCCTTTCCACCTCCCACATACACACTGCCTTTGTTTTCTTTAGTTGCTTCAATAAACATTATAATCTTAAGCCTAAATAAAATTTTACATTACCTATCACAGACAATGCTTCTAAATCTCCTTGGTATGGCTACTTTTCAGCAAATCATCAGTATCTGACATTTTAACTTAAGGAAAGGAAAGAATTATCTAATCAAGTGAATTAGATTATCTAGTCAAGTGAACTAGAAGAAATCTTTTTAAACACACATAATTTTTACTTTATAACCATCTGCTGCATAAAATACAATTTTTCAATTTGCAAAATAATTTTTAAGACTGAAATGTTAATTATTTGATGTTCATAATTGTACATGTATGAATTAAGCTTAATAGTAATTTCAGGGGCGCCTGGGTGGCTCAGTTGGTTAAACGACTGCCTTCAGCTCAGGTCACGATCCTGGAGTCCCTGGATCAAGTCCCACATCGGGCTCCCTGCTCGGCGGGGAGTCTGCTTCTCCCTCTGACCCTCCCCCCTCTCATGTGCTTTCTCTCTCTCTCATTCTGTCTCAAATAAATAAATAAAATCTTAAAAAAAATAGTAATTTCACATACAATTTTATCATAAACCCATCTCCCAGATCTCTTCCATTGACTTTTAAAAAAAACATTTGTAGTTTTTTATTATTTTATTTTTTATTTTAATTCCAGATAGTTGACATACAGTGTTATATTAGTTTCAGGTGTACAATATAGTGATTCAGTAATTCTATTCATTGCTCAGTACTTGTCAAAATAAGTGTACTCTTAATCCCCTTCATATATTTCACTCATCCCCTGTCCCCCCTTCTTCCCTCTGGTAACCATCAGTTTGTTTTCTATAGTTAAGAGTCTGTGTTTTGGTTTTTCTCTTTTTTAAATTTGTTCATTTGTTTTGTTTCTTAAATTCCACATATGAGTGAAATCATGGAATTTGTCTTTCTCTGACTGACTTATTTCAGTTAGTAGTAAACCCGGTGGATCCATGCATGTCGTTTCTTGTGTTTTGATTTTAGCCATTCTGATAGGTATGAGGTGATATCGCATTGTGGTTTTGATTTGCATTTCCCTGATTAGTGACACTGAGCATCTTTTCATGTGTCTGTTGGCCACCTGTGTGTCTTCTTTGGAGAAATGTCTGTTCAAGTTTTCTGACCATTTTTAATTAGATTATTTATTTTTTGGTATTGAGTTGTAGAAGTTCTTTATATATTTTGGATACTAATTCTTTATTGGGTATATCATTTGCAAATATCTTCTCCCATTCAGTATGTTGTTTTTCAGTTTTGTTGATTGCTTAATTTGCTGTGTGGAAGATTTTTATTTTGAAATAGTCCCAATAGCTTATTTTTGCTTTTGTTTCCCTTGCCTCAGGAGACATACCTAGAAAATGTTGCTATGGCTGATGTCAGAGAAATGACTGCCTATGCTCTCTTCTAGGATTTTTATGGTTTCTGGTCTCACATTTAGGTCCGTGATCCATTTTGAGTTTATTTTTGTGTATGGTGTCAGAAAGTGCTGCGATTTCATTCTTTGGCATGTAATTGTCCAGTTTTCTCAATATCGTTTGTTGAAGAGACTGTCTTTTTCTCATTGGATATTCTTGCCTTCTTTGTTGAACATTAATTGAGTATATAACCATGGGTTTATTTCTGGCTCTCTATTCTGTTCCATTGGCCTATGTGTCTATTTTTGTGCCAGTACCACACTGTTTTGATTTCTATAGCTGTGTAGTATAACTTGAAATCTGGAATTGTGATACCACCACTTTGCTTTTCTTTCAAGATTGCTTTGGCTAATCAGAGTCTTTTGTGGTTCTGTACAAATTTTAGAATTGTTTGTCCTAGTTCTGTGAATAAATCCTGTTGATATGCTATTTTTTGCCATTTTAATTACTTATGTGTCTTCGTGTGCACCTCCTTCGATTGATTTTATTGCGGAACTCCCTGTACCTCTTGGATCTGGATTTATGTTTCCTTCCCCAGATTTGGAAAGTTTTCAGCTATTATTTATTCAAATAAATTTTCTGCCCCCTTTTCTCTCTTCTTCTGGGATCCCTATAATGTGAAAGTCACTATGCTTGATGGTATCACTGAATTCCTTAAGCCTTTTCATTTTGCATTATTTTTTCCCCTCACCTGTTCAGCTTGGTTGCTTTCCATTACTTTATCCTCCAGGTCCAGTGACCTGTTCTTCTGCTTCCTCTAGTCTATTATTTATTTCATCTCATGTATTTTTAATGTCATTTATTGAGTTCTTCATCTTTGATTGGTTCTTTTTTATGTTTTCTATCTTTTTGATAAGGGTCATTGATGCCCTCCACTCCTTTCTCAAGTTCCATGAGTATCTTTATGATTACTACTTAAAATTCTCTACTGGGTGTATTATTTATCTCCATTTTGCTTAGATCACTTGCTGTGATTTTTGTCCCATTCTTTCATTTGGGACATAATCCTCCGTCTCCTCATTTTGTCCAACTCTCTGTGTCTGTTACTGTGTATTAGGAAAGTCAGCTACATCTCCTGCTCTTGAAAGTAGTGGCCTTATGAAGAAGAGGTCCTCTACAGTGTGGTGTCACCTGTTCACGAGAACCTGGCGCTTCAGAAGTGTCTCCTATGCGTGTTGTATGTGCCCTGCTGCTGTGGCTGAGCTACTTTTTCTTCAGTTGGCTCTCTTTGCCTGTTGTGGGTAGGGTTTGGTCCCTGTGCTGTTAGTGGTCCAGTCTGGGGCTGTCTTGGGCTTGAGTTGAGTCAGACCAGGCATTTGCCAGAGATGCAGTATCACTGAACTTTCCCCATGTTGTTCCCTGAGACACTTTCATTGGTGGGCAGGTCCTGCAGTCAGAACAGCTGACTGTCCCCAGCCCACTGCTGGGGCCACAGTCTGACGGGTGTGTGTGGTTATCTTTCCCTCTCCCCAGGCCAGGAGTCACTGTGGAGTAGTGCTGGCCCATGTCAGGGCTGTTTGCACACTGCCAGGCTTATGGCACCACTTTGTTTTTTGTTTTTTATTTTTTGTTTTGTTTTTATTATGTTATATTAGTCACCACACAGTACATCTTTAGTTTTTGATGTAGTGTTCCATGATTCATTGTTTGCATATAACACCACTTCGGATGTCTTCTGGCCAAGAGTGTTAAAGGGGTGGATCCTCAAAGTGCATGGGGGCAGGAGGCAAGGTGTCAGCAAGTTTTTTGCTGGTCTATGGGAAGGGACCTGCAGCAACTGGGACTAAAGCTGTCTGACTGGAGGGGGGCAGATCGATTGAAGTGCAGACGGAGTTAGCAAGTTAGGTAGTAAGTATTGGCGGTGCCATGCTGGTTCCTGCAGATGGCATGTTTATGCTGGGGTTTAAAGTCCCACCGGTTATAAGAACTTGTGAATGTCGGCCCCTCTGGTTTTCAAAGCCAATGTAATAGGGATTCATCATCCCCCTGAGGGATCCCTGACATGATAGTCTATTTCTTTCCCTTCTCTGTGCCTGCAGTGTCCTTCCCTCCCAAGGACAGCCCCAGGGGTCTGGTTAGCTCCCTACCACATCTTCACCTTTCCTACCCTCTTCAGTATGGCGTCTTCTCCACATTCAGTTGTGGAGTTTGTTCTGCCTGTCTTGGGATTGTTTTCTGGGCTATTTACACTGATGTGAGTGTTATCTAGTTGTATCCGTGGGACAAGGTGTGCTTAGGGTCCTCCTACTCCACCATCTTTCCCAGACTCCCAATATTTGTACTCTTCCATTGGCTTTTAAATATGATCAGGTGTCTTCCATTTTAAAAGAAAAACTTCACTCAACTATTCATCTCTTTCATAATCTACTCATCTTTATCCTAAACTTTACAGCCAAAATTCAGGGAATATTCTCTGTCATCTCTATGTAGGCATCCCATCCACATGCATGGCTTTAATTGTCACCAAGATGCAAGTGATGGAAGTTTGTATTTTAGCCTGGATATCTTCTCTGAGCTAAAGCCCATACATCTAAACACTTATGTGAAGAACCTTGAATATCTCAAACATTTTCATATTCAACATAACCAAAAGCAAACTCATAAAATTCCCTCTCCAATGCACTCCAAACCTGTTCTCTTCCAGGGTTCCCCATCTCAGTGGGTGAGACCCACCTACAACCATGCACTTGCAAAAGTCAGAAACATATGCTTGGCATCCTCCCTTCCCTCACCCATACATATCCAACCCATTAGATAAGCTGTTTATTTTCTCCCAAAATATTTCTCAAATTTCTCCCCCTTTTCAATCTGTACTATTACCACTCTAAGAAGCAAGCATCTTCATCTGAACCTTATAGCTAGTTTACCTTATAAACTTATAACTAACTTATCACTTTATGACTGGTTTGCTGATACTTCACTTTGGCCAACCTCCAATCCAGTTTCCATATAACAACCAGAGTGATCTTTTCAAAACACAGATCTGATCATAGCATCCCATGCTTAAAACTCTCCAGTGGTTTCCCATTATTCTCAAGACAAGCAACAATTAATTACTGTAGCTAAGGCCATCTGTTTAAACTCCTGCAATCCACCAGGGACTTCTTACTGTTTTCAGGAAAAGAAAAATCTGCTTACCTTGGCCTGCAAGCCCTTCATGGCCAGGGGGGATGCTCCACATCACTCAGCAGCTCCTCCCGATCTCCTGACTCTGGTCACCCTGGTTTCCCTCTCTCTCACCTGACTGCTTAGCTTCAGGTCATAGAACCTTTCCATAAGGTCCCTTCTCTCTTTGCTAGTTACCTCCTAGCAAAGTTCAGATCTCAGCTCAGGGTTGCTTGCTTCCAAGTTAGTTGACCTTAGGGAAGCTGCTGGCCTATGTAACTCCTTTATAAGAATTAGAAGGCATCATCCCGTTTGGGCAGATGCTGTCCCACATCTAGTTCAGGGCTCCCGAAGCAGAGCACAGGTTATATTTCAGTCCCCTGTCCGCCAGTGTTCAGAGGACAAAACATCTGCAAGAAACACCCTCGGAGAAGCCTCCTACACTCTCATGGCTCCATCATGACATGCCTTTCCTTCACAGCGAGTACCACGTGCAGACTGTCTCAGGTACTTGCGTGAGTGTTGGATTAATGCCTGCATCTTCCCCCAGGTATTAACCTTGTGAGGGTAGGAACAATGTCTGTCTTTACTCATCACTGTATCCCCAGCATCTAGCAGCACAAAGCCTGGCGTAGCCTCAATAAATATGTGGTGAATAAATGAATTAAGTTGCAACAGTATTTTAAAATATCATTTATATAACAATGTACAATGGGAAATGATAGCTCAATCATTTGGGAAACCATGAACATGGATATAAAATGAATGTAATAAAAGGTCAACGCTTGATTGTTACTTGTGCTTCACCTTCTTGTTAGTAACAACAAAGGGGCATTTCTTCTCTGCTCATGGAACCTACCTTGCCAGTAAAAACTTCCCGGTCCTCCTACTATGAGGTCTCCATTCTACAAAACAAAAACAGCAACAGTTGGAAAAACAAAACAAAACAGATTTTTTTTAAAAGGTGATAAATCATTGTTAATAAGCATTGCTCTAACAATTTGTTATACATAAAAAAGCAATTTTTAAATGAGGCCCTTCTATCAGAGGCATGCAGCTCGTTTTATTTCTTTTTCTTGCTTTCCGCAATTTAGTGTGTTAGCATAGTAAATAATTTTCATTTGACTCAATTAGCTAAGTTGAATTCTCTCCCTTGAGGATATATAAATTCAGTTCTTTGGCACTTCCTCAGGTAAGCAAAATATACACAAGTTTAATGCTGTGTAATGTAGCAGACATCTTTTGAGCCTTGGCAACAAAAAGAAAATTCAGTTTCTATTTATCTCAAGGCCACAGTAATGCCTATTTTTTCCATACATCTGCAACCACCTCCCTCTCCCCTTCTCAGGAGAGAAAGCAAAAACTCCAGACTAGCAAATATAAATTTTTCCTTCTCCTTACAACCCCACCTTCCAACCTCTGCATCCTTAACTTTCAGTGGAAAAAAAAAGGACAATGATTAAAAAAAAAAGACAATGAATTTTGTAGGCTGAAGAATTTTTTCTATACTATTTTCAAAACCATGAAATCTTTGTACCCTCTTACTAGGCATCTCTGTTTTTATTTTTGTGAAAGGATGTGTGAATTTTAACACTAATGTTAAATCTTATCAGTGAATTACAGCTAAGAGATAAAGCAATTCACTGATTCTTGTGATTTTTTTTGGAAGCACATTTTTCCCACTGAGTTTTTGAGATTTTTCATTTAAAATGACTATCACAAGAGATGGGAAGAAAGACTGTTGCTTTTCATCACATGTATTTCTGTGCTATTTTAAGAGTTTGTCATCTGCATAGATTAATAAAAATAAAGAGCAAACAAAAACATCTGAAGAAGTTGCCAAAACAGGCTAGATATATACCTAAAGGTTCTTTTGGTGGTTGTGGTTTATGGGGGTGGGGATGGGAGGGAGACAGAGGGCAAGAGGGCAAAAAAAAAAAAAAATCAAAAAGATAATACAAATATTAGAAGCTACAAGACCAAAGGAATTCACCTTATAAAAATCCAGACTAAATCCTGCTTGGCAGTAACCCTGGCCTTCTGGATCAGCATTACCTAGAGTGATCAAAATATAGAAATGTTATAATATCATCATTTCCAAGATATATTTTAATAACCATTTCAGGATATTGTTTTTTTCTCTATGTACTTCTAAATTTAAAATAACCAATATGTGTTTTATATTTTTTTTAATTCATTCTGAGTAAGTTATAAAATATATTTCAATTTATTTTCTTGTCCTAAATATCGTCGTGATTCTCTAATAAGATCATTAGGAATAACGTCCCTTGGAGCCATTATACTGGGTTTTACAACTCATGTTTGTTTGAAGAAATAAACTTTCCTTCTTTCAGCTATGTTCTGCATTCTCCATGTGGCAGTAATGTGTTTCTGAGCTGCCTGAGTGTTCTATGAGAAGCCACATGTGTCATTCCTAAAGAAATCCCTTGAGCAAGAGAGAGGTAAACAACGTCACCTGGGCAGATGCTTTCTGCTGAGGGCACCAACAAGGATTCCAATTTTAATGATCGCCAAGAGGAAGTTAATTTAAAGTTGTTCTCTAATCATTAGTTAGGTACATTTGGAAATTGCATTTATGGTCACAATGAACCACACGGGCACATTGGAATAACAGTGTTTGCAAAAGAGAAAGCTCTCTAGTAATGGCTTATTTTGTATTCTATCCAATATAATTCACTAACTGAATGTCCAATAGGTCCTTACCATACAGTTTTTAAAATTATGGGTAGGTCAACCTGTGGGTTCCCAGGGGATTGTTATAAAAAGTCTCTAGGACATTAGGATCAGGAATTTACTACTGTCTACAGCTTTTTCTTCTTCTTCTTCTTTTTTAGATTTTATTTATTATTTGGCACAGAGGGAGAGAGAGAGAGACTGGTTGATCATGAGCAGGGGGGTAAGGGTAGAGGGAGAAGCAGACTCCCCACTGAGCAGGGAGCCCGATGCCGCGCTTGATCCCAGGACCCTGGGACCATGACCTGAGCTGAAGGCAGATGCTTAACCCACTGAGCCACCCAGGCACCCCCTGTCTACAGCTTCTAAAATGCTTAGCGTAAAATCAAAATGTAGTTCAGTGGGGGGGCATCTCAATCATTATGTAGTTTGATATGAACATGCAAATAATTACTCCTTTTTTTTATGAGGGATATTCCTGAATGGAAACTAAGATAAGAGAGCAGGAAAGGAAATGGACATCATCATAGGAAAAATATATAGACTGTTTTCTGGAACAGTGTCTGTTCCAGAAGCTTTTTGATAGATCAGGCCTTTCTAGCTTTTTCTAGAATGTCTTCTGTTTTTTCTTTCCTTTGGTTAGTCCTTAGCTAATTTTAGCGTTGTCATCATCCATTTTTCTCCAGATGCTCCCTGTATATTTTAATATACTGTTCTATCGCATACACTGTATTTTTTTATGATAATACCTGTTTTTAATTCAAATGTCCATTAATGCCTTGTGGGGTTCTTTTTTTTTTTTAAAGATTTTATTTATTTATTTGAGAGAGAGAATGAGAGACAGAGAGCATGAGAGGGAGGAGGGTCAGAGGGAGAAGCAGACCCCCTGCCGAGCAGGGAGCCTGATGCGGGACTCGATCCGGGGACTCCAGGACCATGACCTGGGCCGAAGGCAGTCGCTTAACCAACTGAGCCGCCCAGGCGCCCTGTGGGGTTCTTTTTTAAAGCTAAGAGTTTTTTTTCCCCCAGCTTTATTCATGTATACTTTATATATAAAAAATGTATATTTTAATATATGCATTTTGATGAGTTTGGACATAGGCATACACCCATGAAACCATCACCAAAATCAAAGTAATAAGGATTTCTATCACCTACAAAAAAATTCTTGTGTCTCCTTGTTTGTTTTCTTGTGGTAAAAACACTTAACATGAGATTTAACCTCTGCAATTTTTAAGTGCACAACATCTTACACTATATTTTTATGAAATTTCTTCCTTAAGTTATATTTTGTGGTTTGTAGTTCCGAATGCTTTAAAATTCCCTAAAGGTTCATCTGTATAACCTCCAATGTCTGGGTACCAGTTTTCTGGAAGTTCATGTGTGTAAATATTTCTATATGAATACCTGATATATGATCATGTAAACATATATGTGTAATCTTGCGTATATTTAGAAATATATTTTTCTAATGTACAAAGCTCTTTAGAAATCCCTTTTTAAAGCCAAGTCTTTCTTTCATTTTTAATATTGTAAATTATTCAAAAAGGAAGAAATATGACCGTTCTTTGAAATTATTTTGTTTCAAAACAGGAAACTGAAAAAATTAAGAGAAAATACTAATTTTTTACGAAACTCATTGAGAAAATAACCAACTTCAAATGTTTATTTTAAGCAGTGGTTATAAGAAAATATGAGGTAATTTTTTCTCTTAGAGTTATAGTTCATGAGAGCTAAAGGAATCTATCTTCCTGGAACTTCAGATCGTCTATAAATTTTAAAATTATGTCCCAGAATGAACTCAAGAATCCAGGGAATCATGCTGATTAGAAGGCCATATGTAAATAATCCTCACCTGAATTATGAATGATCATAAGAGCTGTAGGCATGTCATGAATATGAATGAGCAGATTAGTTCCCATATTGCTAAACGTATCAGTGGGGTATGTTTGTGATAGGGAATGAGCACGAGAGAGTTCTTTAAATTCTCTTTTGAAAATAATATTGCTGGTGTTCCTTCTGTGATATTGACCATATGCTTCTGAACAAGCTGGCTTTGTGTTAATGAACTGTAAACTCCCAAGGGAAGGACAGGAAGTCTGCTCCTTGGGTGAATTTAAGGAGGAAGTATTTATAGTAAGAGAGTGACCACAGGAATATGAAAACTGTATCTGTGTACTAGAGTTGGAAGAATTCTTGGCAATTTATTTAGCTATTCTGCGATTCAACATAAACTCCATTTTTACCTTGGTCAAGCTGTTCTTTTATATAGGAAAATAAACAGTAAGTAAATTGGCACCATAATGCGCCCATGTCACTCAAGACACAAGGCTGCTATAATTCTTATTTTCAGGTAAAGGCTCAGACTCATGTCTAAGTGCCATGTGCTGTATTTTAACTTGAGTTCTCTCATCCCAGAGGCACTCAGTCAAAAAGGCAGAATAAGAGGCAGTGACAAGTTTTATAAACGATCACCCTCCATGTTGGTTGGAAGAGTATGAGAGATTACCAAGGCAAGAGGAGTGTGAAGGATGGGCTCATTGTTTCAGTTATACTAGTTTACTGTACTGGGGAAGACTTTTGAGCAAATCATGAGCAATATGAACAGGATTGGTGAAACATATTCCGTGTTAAATCTCAGCCCTACCATTAGTTTTCTGAGTAAATTCAGGATTTTATTTATCTCTATACTTGACTTTTATCTTTAGCATAATAGTAATGGCCTCACACTGAACCAAGGAACACAACACTCCGAGTGGGACATGACTCAAAATATGCCTCTGTTGGTTGTTGGCTGTTGGCTGTTGGCTATACCTGGGAAACTCCCGCTTGCCCTCTCCAACAGCCATTTGCCAAGAGAGCTCTTTGGTCCTGTCTCAAAGCTCCTCTCCCCACCCAGGCAGGCCATGTCACTCCCTACTCGCTTGCCTTATTATATTTTTTCTTTGTAGCACTTTTTGCTATCTGACGTTATATTATGAACTTATTCTTTTAAAAAAATTCTTTTCATTGATATATAATTGACATATAACATATTATTAGTCCAAGGTATATAACATCATGATTTGCTATATGTATATATTACAAAATGATCCCTACAGTAAGTCTAGTTAACACCCATCACTACAGATCATTATAAATTTTTCTTTTCTTTTTTTTGAAGATTTTATTTATTTATTTGACACAGAGAGACACAGCAAGAGAGGGAACATAAACAGGGGGAGTGGGAGAGGGAGAAGCAGGCTTCCTGCTGAGCAGGGAGCCTGATGCGGGGCCCGATCCCAGGACACTGGGATCATGACCTGAGCCGAAGGCAGACGCTTAATGACTGAGCCACCCAGGTGCCCCATATATTTTTTTCTTATGATGAGAACTTTTAAGATCTACTCTCTTAGCAACTTTCAAATATACAATACAGTATTCCTAACCATAGTCACCCTCCTGGACTTTACAGCCCCTGGACGTTTTTCTTATAACTGGACATTTGTACCCTTTGGCCACCTTCACCACTTTCACCCATCTCCCCACCCCCCACTTCTGGCAACCACTAATCTGTTCTCTGTATCTATGAGTTTGGCAGGAGGGGGGTGGTTTTGCTTTTGTTAGGTTCTGCATATAAGTGGTATTTTTCTTTGGTATTTGTCTTTCTCTGTTTGACTTATTTCACTTAGTATAATGCCTTCAAGTTCCATCCATGTTGTCACAAATGGCAGGATTTCCTTCTTTTTATGGCTAATTAACATGCCATTGTACATATATATAACATCTTCATTATCCATTCATCCATCGACGGATGCTTAGATTGTTTCCATGTCTTGACTACCGTGTGCAATGTTGCTATGAACAGGGGGGTGCAGATATCTTTTTGAGATACTGATTTCATTTCCTTTGGATACATACCCAGATGTAGAATGACTGGATCTGAACACTTACATGTTTGTTGTCTGTCTCCCCCACTAGAATGTAAGTTTCTTAAAGATTGGGTTTTATTTTCTCTTGTTCTGTGCTTTATTCCCCAAACATAGAATAATTAATGTTCAATGTGTTGAATAGATACATAATCGAGTCTCATTATCAACAAGGAACCTCTGTTTTAAAGCCATTTAAAATAAAACCTTAATTTCACAGATTATTCATTCAGCTGACATTTGTCATGATGTGAGGAAGTGGCTGATTAATTTCAATATTTTTAAACAAAAGTCATAATCTTCTCTTTGCCAAAATCCTCCCCCAAAACCATCTGAGTTAGCCGCTTCACTTTGATCTTCAGATTAAATCTCAGTGGCTTCTTTATTAACCCTCTGATATCACTGATCCATTCTTTATCTTCATTGTTTCATTTCTGATATGTGTTTATTACTTTGCCATGATTAATCCTTTTTTTTTAAAAGATTTTATTTATTTATTTGACAGAGAGAGACAGAGTGAGAGAGGGAACACAAGCAGGGGGAGTGGGAGAGGGAGAAGCAGGCTTCCCGCCGAGCAAGGAGCCCGATGCAGGGCTCGATCCCAGGACCCTGGGAATCATGACCTGAGACAAAGACAGATGCTTAACAATGGAGCCACCCAAGCGCCCTGCCAAAATTAATCTTGAATCTAAAGAAATATTCACACAAAATGGTGAAATTTTACTTACAGTTTTGGAAATCTAATTTGGGATTCAGTTGTTAAAAAATCAATTTCCTGAAACCAGTTACCAGAATGTTCTTTCTAATGACATTTCTTTCCTCAGTGTGGTTTTGCAATCAGGAATATGAATGAAAATCCATTGGTTGCTTTCTGACAAATCCCAATGACCGACACGACACGTAGAAAGCTGGAAGAATTCACAAAAAGACTGAGTAGATCAACCAATTGGAAATGAAAGCTGTCCCGGGGTGCCTGGGTGGCTCAGTCGTTAAGCAGCTGCCTTCGGCTCAGGTCATGATCCCAGGGTCCTGGGATCGAGCCCCGCATCGGGCTCCCTGCTCCACAGGAATCCTGCTTCTCCCTCTCCCACTCCCCCTGCTTATGTTCCCTCTCTTGCTGTGTCTCTCTGTCAAATAAATAAAATCTTAAAAAAAAAAAAAAAGGAAATGCTGTCCCAAGTCCGGGAGTGTTCCACCAAGAAGTGATTAAACAGCTGTGCCCCAAAGATGGCACTCGCAGGCTTGCTTTCGAGGATGCTTTGCTGGAAGCTCCCTAGAATGGCCAGATGAGACTTACACTCTAAGTATACAGAGTCTTTTTTAAAAAATGTAGATTAAACACCTAAAGGAGAGAAGAGTGCCATGCAGATAACTGGAGCACACGACTGCCAAAGAAAGCAACAGCTGTCAAGAACACAGGCTGCGGGGCGCCTGGGGGGCTCAGTCGATTAAGCATCCAACTCTTGATTTCGGCTCAGGTCGTGATCTCAAGGCTGTGAGATCAAGCCCCATGTCAGGCTCTGTGCTGGGTGTGGAGCCTGCTTAAGATTCTCTCTCTCCCTCTCCCTGCGCCCCTCCCTCCCACTCATGCTCTCTCTCTCTAAAAAACAAAACAAAACACCAAACACAGGCTGGACAGAAAGCTTACATCAGAGTGTCCCCAGTTCCAAGCACAGTAGCTAGCTAAGACCACTCCTGCCATTAAAAAGTGAAATGGGTGGTCAGCATTCTTCAGATCACGGCATGAGTTTTGAAGAGCAACTGAGAGTTTAAGGCCTAAAATAAGGAACCAGGCAATTCTCCTGCAAAATATCTAAAAGAAATTTTCTACAACATGGAAGAGGATCAACAGAATTCTGTGTCTTGGCCGCCATGTCACAGCAAGGCATCCCGAAAGGCTGTCCGTAACCTTCACCCCTGTCTCTTTTTCCTTATTAACGGTGTTCTGATGTTGCCTGCACCATCTACCACAGAAAGGCTCTTGAGCTAAATTACAGTTTCAAGGAATAAAATCACTTACTGTTCCGACAGGGAGAGTACTCTGCGTACGCACTGAAATTCTGGATCGCTACATAGCAAGTGCCAACTGGGTCCTTTTCTGGTGTTGGTTTAAGAGTTCTCCAGTGATACAGAGAGGCACAGGCCTGTGACACAAGGAAGGCAATCAACATTTTCTTGACATAGTTTCCTCATATCATGATAGGATATAGCTTGTTGACTAAGGTACCTACATTCATGTTAAACTATGTTAAATTAGGGAGTGAATTAATCGGCTTCCAGCATGCTGGTAAGTACCTCAGTAGTCAGAGTTAATGAAACTTCCAAAGCCAGTTTTTTTTTTTTTTTAACATTAATGCACCACAGAATCAGAACAAATTAAACATATAGAAAGGAATGAGATTTTCCCCTACAGGATTTTAAGTTAAATAAGTGTCAAAAGTGATTGTTTCCTAATTGAGGGTTGCTGGAGTGGTGGGGGGTGGGAGGGATGGGCGGCTGGGTGATGGACATTGGGGAGGGTATGTGCTATGGTGAGCGCTGTGAATTGTGGAAGACTGATGAATCACAGACCTGTACCTCTGAAACAAATAATA